CAGCGGAATAGTTGCGCTTGATTGTAGTTGGCTTAGCAAAGTGAAATAGTGGAAAATAAGAAACAAGAATTAGAAAGGCAAACTTAGCACAGTGCGTAGGCAACTGGCTGAGTCAGTGGTGATCGTCGGTTCGAATCCTACTGAAAGAAGTCTGACGAGGAAATGTGGTGATTTCCGAAATAGCTATCACTTCTACCATTTTTTCAAATTATTGTTGCTTTTCCACATTAAGTTTTTCACTTAAAACGGCCTCAAGCTCATAAAGATTGATGAATGAAATTGCATATATTTGAAAAAAATCCGCAAATATTTACGTCTCTGACATGCCTTCATAGTTTGAGGTTTCCTGAGGTAATAATAATTGTTACGCATTTTAGAACTCCAAAAGATAACTATTTAGGATCGTATGAAAAGACTAAGAACCATTAAACACAATAGAAACTACCATCCCAAAATACCATAAATTATATTTTGTTAATTCCAATGTAGCAACGCTGCTTCTAAAGTGTAAAATTTATGAAACTTCAAAAATGCCTGTAATCGGCAAAAAAGTTTGAAGTGAAACTACCTTCTATTTTTTTATCATGGAATTCCCTTTCTGTGTAATAAGCAGAAGTATTTTTGAGCAGAACTTCTCTCTGCGTAGGTGGCCTGCGGCCGCGCTTAAGAATTATAACCCTCGCAATGTAGAATTCGCCCTCTTTGTTGCGAAGAAAATGACCAGAAGTATTTTTGAGCAGAGCTTATTCCTGCGTTGGCGGCCTGCGGCCGCGCTTAAGGACTATAACCCTCACAAAGTAGAATTATCCTTCTGTGTGGGGAAGAAAATAAGCAGAAGTATTTTTGAGCAGAACTTCTCTCTGCGTAGGTGGCCTGCGCCCGCGCTTAAGGATTATAACCCTCACAAAGTAGAGTTCTCTTTCCGTGTGGGGAAGCAAATAAGCAGAAGTATGTTTGAGCAGACCTTCTCTCTGCGTAGGTGGCCTGCGGCCGCGCTTAAGGATTATAACCCTCACAATGTAGAGTTCTCTATCTGTGTGGGGAAGAAAATAAACAGAAGTATCTTTGAGCAGAACTTCTTTCTGCGTAGGCGGCCTGCGCCCGCGCTTAAGGATTATAACCCTCACAATGTGGAATTCGCTTTCTGTGTTGCGAAGAAAATGACCAGAAGTATTTTTGAGCAGAACTTATTTCTGGGTTGGCGGCCTGCGGCCGCGCTTGAGGATTATAACCCTCACAAAGTAGAGTTCTCTTTCCGTGTGGGGAA